CCCAGCCCAGCCCAGCCCCTGGCTTCTTTACTTTTCATTCCATCCAGGAAGAGCACACACCAACTGCTGCAGCTTCCTTAGCCTGACGAAGGGTTTTTGAACCCGAAAGCTTGCTTAATAACTATTCTCCAACCATTTGGGTTGGTCTAATAAAAGATATCAAATTCACCCAAGGAACCTTGTCTACAAAACTAGCTAGACAGTTATCTTGAAAACTTAGCCAAGCATCAAAGATGAGCCTCATTTTCAAGTTTAGCAGACCATTGAGTAAAGCACAGTAGATTACTTGTTCCTAAGTGCCAGGATCAAGTCTGCTTATGCAGTGCAATGTACATGTGGAACACCTCTTAGGAAGAATTCACAAGTTTCATTTAATATATACACAACTGATTTTAATCATGTACTGAAAATAAATTACAGGAAATAACTTTAAAATGCAACAGAGGACAAGAACTTTCACAACAAACATTCCCATTGATTTCCCAAGGGGGTGAGAGATTGCAGTGCTCAAGGCAGGTAAATATCACAAATATATCAAAAACTTCAAATCGTTTATGCATTCACACATTTACATGAGCCACAAACATTCCTTTACAGGGACTGTACTTAGCCTACCACAGAACCAGGTTTTGCCATAAACTACAAAACTTTGATACAAAAATTGTATTTATATATTTATAATTTCATATACATGCCCTATCTGTGATTTCTTAAAAAATAAGAACTAAACACACTGTACAGACAATCCTAACTCATTGCTTCAGAGCTGTAGGCAACATTGTTTGGATGGAATTTCTCCCCCCCAACAAAATTAATGGCATATTATATACATGAAGGCTAAACTGCAGAAAAAGACAGCTCAGTTTTCTGATATGCATCTCCTTTTGGACAAGGTCTGTGAGTTTAAAAAAAAAAGGCAAGACAATGTACACATTGAATCACTTCCTTAGTTACAACAGTTAGTTCTAATGTCATTTGTGAGGAACTGATACATGCATTTGTGTAATACTGGTATAAAAGGCAGTAAAGCAAGATATATATTTAAATGTAGTGGCTCAATAATGGCTTCACTGATGTCAGCTACTACTGACATGCCCATTCGACTCAATACAGTGATTTATATATAAATACTCCAGAAGTTAAAAGTTTCAAATGGGATGTTGTGAGGCTAAATACATTCCATTAAAAGACTTTCTTAGATAGGTTTAACAGTTACTTCCCTGAAATATCCTTGTACAGAGGACCTATTTCCATTGTAAGCCAGACTGCATTACCTCAAGACATGGAGGAAAGTCACCCACCCTGGCGCACAGGTGTCCAATACATTAGGACTGCATTTAAAATTCCCCTTGCCAGTCTCCATGACACAAAACTAGTGTCTTAGAAGCAAAGATTGACAAACTTCTTGCACTTGGTGGCAGCAATCTGTGAAGCCAGTCACACTAAACTACTTCTACAGTTGATTGTAAACTTTGGTTTATTTATTGAGTTCTCATTGTACAGCAAGCATGTCTAGGATGAGAGGACAGGGTTGAAGAGATGAACTGTCAGTCTGTCTTTAATCTGGCATGTTGAGACACCTGTTCAGTCAGGCTTGCTTTGATAGAGTTTGTTACAGACTGCCTCATGTTATCTTCCATCAAGTTATCACTCAGGGGCTTCAATACCTGTGGTATGAGAAACATGCAAACAAAAACAAACAAAACAAAAACAAAAACAAAAAAAAAAGTGGTGAGGTAACCAAATAAATCCTTTGAGATATAAAAAAAAATAAAGTATAAAAATACAACAATTAAAAGTAATGAAAAATAAGATCTTGGAATCTGAAATAAAAACAAAGATGTGATGAATTAAAAAAGGAAAGTGGTAAAGAGTTGTGCTGCTACAGAAATGAGGTTATTCATTAACAGAGTATGAACAAAAGCGATTTCTTCCTATACACCAGTATTTTGACTGAATTCAAACCACTTTACAGTTCCTAGAAGATGGATGTGCAATTCCATACCCTATCTGCAGCATCAATCTGGTACGTTTACAGCATTTATGCAGACCGGCCCAGACGGTCCTGCTTATTGTCCTATGTGTGTAAGTGTGAACACTTCAGATACAGAAAGAAAGTTAAAAATACTGTCTAGTTTTTCTTCTTGTTATTGTTGGATGAAAGTCGCTGCCGCTGCGCTGAGGCAAGAGCACGGCGAATCAATCGGTGTCTGAGAACTTCAAAGATTTTGGAAAACACCTAAAACATGAATTGAGCTGTTAGTAAAAAGACTCTAGCAGGTGGAAAGAAACTAAAGCCAACTAATAAATAAAAATTTGATCTTCATTAAGTTTCTCACCTTCCTGGGATTCCTCTGAAGCAGAGAGAAAAAGAGAGAAGGCCAAGATTTAGAAGTGGTCAGTAGCAAGAACATGCACGAGACTAAAGGAACCTACCTTTGGCGTCCAAAAGATTAAACCAGAAATCAGAGGAATTCACTGGCTCTTTATGCGTTATTAAACACATCATCCAGCTATGGCAGTAGCCACTGCCCACAAGAAAGGAGCTGCCAGTACTGCTATATAACCAGCACATGCTCTTGGTGGGAACACTGCTTACACTGGCAAGAGCTCATTTTGCAGGTCTCTACACTAGAGCTTTTCCCTGGACAGTTGTGGATCAAGGAGCAATTTCCCTTCTTAACAAACATATGGCAGCAACACATTCAATACAGGCTGAGAACAAGTGCAGAGTAAGGATCCAACAGAAGCAGTGCTTAACCCATGTTGCTCTAGCTTGATGTAAAGTCCAGCCTTGAGGAAGCCAATTCAGAAGGAAGACAAAAAAAAAGGGTCTGATCAGACTTCTAAACTAAAAGATGTACAGGAAGCCTGTAACTTTCAAACACTCCCAGAAGTTAACTAGGAGCTAAAAAGTAAAGCCATTTGCATTCTCAGAGACTTACAAGTTACAATCCTGTCCCCCAGTTGCTTCCTTGATCTTAAGTATGTCAAATTATCCTATACAGGTGAAAACAGTCACCACACTACTACTGTACACTCCCAGAGTACCATTTTACATAAGGAAGTCTTCAAGGAGATTCCTTATTCAACTAGAAAAAGTACCAATTTAACACATTAAGGCACATGCCCACTTCAGGATCAGCTTTTTTACCTGTCCTCTCAGCTCAGTTCATTGCCTATTAACTCATTGTAGCAGCATCCAAAATACCTTTCTGCCGGTGCTGTAGGTAGCTGTTTTAACTGCTTTTAAGGAGTAACTTCCTCTGTATCAGTGGTTCTCAACCTTTTCTGTACCAGAACCTACTTGTAAACATTGATGGCCACTCCCAACCCACCGCCCTCAGCCCCTAGCTCCCCAGTATGTGTGGGACAGGGGGAGGGGATGGGGGACCCCAAGCAACCCCTCACAAAGGTAATGACAGCCTGCGAGGGAAAAACCATATTTCCCACATTTTTCTCTTTTAAAAGGAGAATCCATTTTTAAGGTTTTTTTCACAACCCTTTCATCTACTCTTGCGACTCACTTTTGGGTTGCGAAATATTGCTCTGTATTAACCCTCAAGTTTTAAACAGTTAAACCAACAAGAAAAAACTCAGTAAGATTGGTTTAGAGATAAAAACAAAATAATGTCTCCTAGAACAACTATTTCTCTGCTAGCCTAAAAGCCAATGGAGGTCATGAAGTCACCTGGTCAAACAAACAGCCATCCCAACACACATCCAGAAGAGCAACCCACCACTCACCTACTCAATACATCACCTGTAACATCTAGTCTTCCTGACAGAAGGCATAACCATTCAGTTAGCACAGTGGGGGGCAACCTTTCTGGTAGATTTGATACAAATTAAGCCCTGCACCATCCAAGTGTGCATCCCCTTCCCTTGTCTGACCTGCTACTCTACTTTGTTGCTTGCCCCCTTCCTTAACCTGCTGCATGATGCAGAGGCTGCCTGTGCCACTTTTGGCATGTGCTGCAGATTGGAAACCCTGAACTAGTGTTACAACTAGTAACCAACTGCTCTAGGAACTTCCAGGCCAACTACATCAGTAGTTGGAAGCTGTTCGGTTTTAAAAGCTTGCCTCTAGGAATTTTTACCAACCTACCTTATTTTCTACTTTACTTACCAAAGTATGTTGATAACAAGAATTTCAAGGCAACTATTTCAGGTGCTGAGACATTAGAAGGTGGCTTGAGCTGCTTTTATGGTCTGAACTCTCCAGGCTGAGGAAGTTCATTTATATCACCAAGCTCATTTACCTTCCAGCAGACCTGGCATTCTTTATCAAAGCTATTGCAATATAATTGACAGCATTAAAGAACGATTGCAACTGAGAAGTCAGTTCAAGAAAGGGACTGTCCATAGATAAATGGATACCAACCTGTTCCCATATTGCTTCAGCAATCTGATCAATGACTGTTCCAACTTCTCTGAACTCCCCAGAGTACTTAACATATGCCCAAGTACACAGGGATACAAGAGCCAGCCCCATTATAAGATTACATAGGGTAGCTATGGAGTTCATGCCAAGGAACCCAGTCAGTCCTGAGATTATATACATGGCGAACATGACAGCAAACAAAGTAGCAGGGGTGCGGGCAGCATAAAAGATGTTTTTGCCATCATTGTGTTTCACAAAATTTGCATAGATTTCATCCATCTCTGCTTCCAGCTGGTCCTGGTAGCAGCGACAGAACTCTTCCCCTCCCATCTTCTTCACAGAACGGAACTGCTTGACAGCCGACTCCCTGAAATCCTGGTGCTTCCGTTCCAAGTCGGACGGGGCGATGTAAGGCTTGTCTCCACCACAGACCTGTCAGAACAGCAACCAGAGGTGGAGTTCAACACAGAAACAGAATTCAGCTACCCTCAGAATGAAGCCAGCCATGACTTGTCTGACATTTTTATTCCTTCTAGGGCAATCACATTCTTGACTTGGGGCTCCTGCAGGCAATAAAAGCCTTGCCAAATGCCAAGTACAGCATTGTTTCATGTAGCTAGGAGTTCACTCCAAAGAACCCAGTCAGCCCTGATTTCCATCTCCTCCTGTGGCTGTGGAGGGAATTTTTTTGGAAGGAGGAAGGGAGGTGGGTGAGGGATCTACGGTTCAGGACTGCATATCCACTGCTGCCATGGCCCCCTTCCAAAAAAACTTTTTTTAAAAAAGGAAGTGTGCATATAGGTAGGAGAGTAGTCTTATTTTCACTTAAAATGGTTTCAACAAAAAGGAACTTGCTATATGCTGAAGTGCTTCTAAAAATTTGCTCAGAACTTTAGCTCTGGATTGCTGCTCTTATTACAAGTACTGTACAATAACGGCAGGAGAGGCCAGGTGACTGATTAATAATAGCTCCAGGGACAGATGATGTTTTTGTGGAAATGCCTCTCAGATAGAAAAGGAACTCCTAATCCCTATAACAGATCAACTAGTTTTTCAACTCCCCCCCCCCCTTTCCGCCATGAGGAGCCAATGGGTTTTTTTGCTACTTCAGCAATCAGCTGATTTAAGCTTTTGCCTAACTTTAATGGGGTGATTTAAGTGGGACTTGAAGCAAATCCACTGCACGAGCTCACAGAACATCCATAAGGTAGCACGAAGTGGTGAATGAAGTTACGCACACAAGTGAGAGACACAAATGGCTTGGATTCCTTCAAGTCCTGGATAAGAAATGCTAGTACTTTAGCCCACATCTTTTTATGGCTTCCTAGACAGTAGCTAGTGTTAGAGAGATCTAGAGAGAATGATCAGAAGTCACTAGAGTACTCCAACGTACACAGTTGTGCAAGCACTCATGTGGCATAGCTTACAGTTGTACCAAAATCTTCATTCTTTGCTACTTAGTGTCACTTGCCATCAACTACTATTAAAACTCTCAAACTGCATAACAAGTGGTGTTGCAGATGTCTTTCATACCCCCACTTCACCATCAATTTCCTTCTCCCTCCATAAAAGGGATTGTATGCCCTTCTGCTGGACAGGTGATCTTTACCTGCTAGGTGTACAAGCCCTGAGAGCAAGTCAGTTTTTGTATCAACATAGCAACAAGTATGTTAACTGTAAGCCTAAAAGCCGCCTCTGGTTATACAGTTGCCTTAGTTTTGTAAACATACCTGCTCCATGCTTTTGCTGTACAAGTCTTTTGCTCCTGCCACTGCAGCAAGATTATTGGCTTCAGCTGTTGCCTTAAAAAAAAATATACACATTAAGGACCATGCACAAGTGACTAACATGTCAGCAGCATTATAAGGTCATCACATATTAGGAATCCAACTCTCCTAGTTTTGTATGTTTTCCTAAACTTTGAGACGGTTGAGAAAGCCCTTCAAGTGAATACAGAATTACACTGTAAGGTACCTCAGTGGAAGCAAAAACAACATCAGCTATAGCTTTCTAATAATGCTACACATTGAATATCCATGTGCCTGTACACATCCAAATAAGTTACCAAACAAGTGACATCCAACAAAATTCATGTACTTGAACAGAGTCAGAAAATTGATTATGTAATGAAGTCAGGTACAGACATGACACTTTTACTGGTATAATTGATAAGACACTGGTCTAAAACCCATAACAAAAGTTTAGTACCACAGACTGGTTTAAATAAATAAATTAAAATAAAATAAAAATTGCAGAACCTGGTTTAAGATAGGCAGCCTGCTCCTCTCCTGCCCCTCAAAAGGGCAAATGTGTTGTTTTGTTAGTTACGGATCTAAAAATTAGGCTGCTAACAGAAAACTGCACAACTTAGCTTGATTCTACCTCTGGCTTTTTGAGTGTCTGTACTTAGCCAGAAAGATTTCTTCTTCTTCCAAGAAAATGGTCTCTACAAGTTCCCTCGTCTATAGCTGGGTTCTCAGAGCATTGTAGAAAGTGGCGATTCGTTTGGATCATATATTCATGTGATCACACCCTCCCCTCGGTTTCATGAGGGAAGAGTGGGAACATTGGAAGGGTCTTTTCTGGAGTACTTTGGCAACTCCAAGGAGGTGGTTCCTTGAAGGCCCAGATCCTTTGTGCTGTGTACCTGCCATCTTGACTAAACACACAGGTTTCCTCTCCAACCCCAAGTTTGAAAGGCCCTGAGCCGCATCAGATTTAGTCTCAATCCGATTTTCCCCACCGCTATTCTGAGATGTGCCATTAAAGGAAAACAACTGGTAGGCTAGTCACCCAATCTACTACAGAGCAGAAAGCAGCTTGACATGTCATGGCATAGGTTACTTAACTTACAGGTAGGAAACCTTTTCTGACTGTGGGCTAGAATTACCCACCCTGAGTTAGAGGCAGATGAGCACACACTTGGAACCATCTGCAGCTCATGCTTGTCCCCACAACAGGACAGGGAGTGTGCCTGCGGCCAAAGCCTCTTGCCACAGCATGCTCCTAAAGTCACATATCTGGATCCAGTGGGCCATAGTTACTTACATCAGGGGTTGGCAGCCTATGTGCCGTTTTATTAGACATCAAATCTAATACTGCTAGGAAGAGTAAAAATGTTGACAAAGTGACTAGCTTTATAGAAAAAACAAAAGCAAAACGTCTCCAAGAACACACAAAAAAAAATGGAGGTAGCAGAAGAGACTCTTGTTTATAACCCCTGCTCCATCTGATAGACCCCAGCAGCTTCACTTGAGACTATTCCAAGCCCACAAAGTACATGGGGCTCATCTTGGACAGATAACTGCATGGACATCAGAACTTCAAACCATATGTTCTTCAGAAATCACAATTCCAAATCACTGTAAAGAGTTTACAAAAAATAGAATCAAGAAGTTAAAGAATAAAGAAATACCTGGAGCATCGACTTTGGATGAGGTAGCTCCTCTCCTTGATAGATTTTGATGTAAGCCTGAAAGAGAAATCCATTTAAAAAAAAAAAAGAGATGAGGAAGGGAGAGAGCCAACTACAAACTCTCTCCATGTTAATTCTAAATATTCAAATAAGCAGATCACTCCACAAGTGACATTTAGTTATCCTACAACATTAATCTCTTTGCCTTCAAGCTATATTATGAAGTCAAATAACCAATAATCTCCAATGTTAGTGGATGGAATAAATAGTAGCAAGATAGGATATGTACTTTTATTAGGATTAAAAGCAAATTTCCCCCTCAATATTTAAAAGACTTGATTTATTTATTGAAAAGATTCTACCACTAAAACAGGCGAATCTCATTTTACTGAACACTTTTTATATGGCTTGGAACGAAGCCCCTTCACAGGCAGAAGGGCCACACACCTAGCTCGGGTACTTCCTTACACCAGCAGGGCCTGAGGCTGCCAGAGCAGCACAGGGCTTTGAAGAGAAGCTTCTACCACTGTTGCCAGGAGCAGCAGTCCAGAGGCTCTCAGGAAAGACCGATTTTCTGTTACCAAAATACATTTGGGAGAACTCTGGGTGGTTGGGGAGGTCTCCTTTCCTTCCTCCCAACCTGCTCACCCCAGAACACGATAGCAAGTTGTTGGATCCTCAGAGAAAGTGAGCCAGATCAAGAATACAGGCCTTGCAGTTACAATTTACTGGAAAGCGAGGGCTCCTAGTAGTAATTCCTTGCTTAGAACCAGTTGTACTAGCTGTTCACTGGGCCGTTGGGCCTCCGATGTACCCCCCCCCCGCAATTCCCTTCTTGGAGGTTGTTTCTTCATTTGCTACTAATCCAGGTCCCCTAATGCTTATGTCTAGGCCTGTGTGCTGGGAGTTGCATTTCCACTTAAACAAATCTAAAAGGACAGGGTCATTCCCAGTACAGGCATGACATGCAATTTTAAGCCTTGCAACTCTCAAATTAAAAAGAACACTAAAGGCGACAACCTGGTGACCATGGAACTGTACGTGCTGCTGGTGTATGTGTCAGAGTTGCCAACAGGGGTGTAGGTTGTAACCGTGTTTGTCTAAGGACATAGGCAGACAAGGTTCTTTGGGTTGCCAAAGAAGCCAGAAAAAATTTGGCTTGAAATTTTGACTATATGATCAAAACTGGAAAAACCTCAGCATGGAAGTGCTTAAGAACTACCTTGGACACATGCACTTTCCATATTTACAAAATTAGGATCAAGACTGGAGGCAAAAAAAGCAAACATGTCCCATTATACGAAACTGCTTAATTTAAAAATATGTTAAACATTAATCCATATTCAAAAGGAAAATATGCAAGATTTCGCCATGCTATGGTATATTTCACAGGGCATTCCAAACAGCTTGCATTTTGTTAGAAAATTGAAGGCTCTCTGTTTTAGACAGTCACAAAAAGTTCTGAAATGAAGATGTAAAGCTAGCTTAGCTCAATTTGCAGGCAACCTAAATACCATCATCTATTCTTTGGGAACAAAGAGTCCTAGAATTAGGAGCATTTCTTGTAAGACATTTAAAAAAAGTAATTAGCAAGAGAACGTTTGCCTACCTTAAAGTATTCAACAAGATCTCTACAGGTCACCTTGGATCCACTGATTTCTTTTTCTACCAAGTTTTCAGGGGCAAGCAATAACGGAACCAGATTTCGCAACTCGCTCTTAAAGTCTTCATCAATATCTAGTGGAAATTTAAGTCAAAGAAAAAACTATTAAAACTATGGTTAGTTTCAATTTCAGTACAGTAAAACCTCATGAATCCAGATCTCAGAAACCTGGCCCTCAAATCTGGCACAAGTGGCTGCTCCGGGACCAACCGCCACTCCCGCACCCACGCTCCCAGACAGACAGGAAGGGCTTGGGGGCATGGCCGTTAGCCCCCCCACATGGCGTGCGACTGCCCCAGCCCCAGCCACTGCTTGGATTTCAAAAATCCTGCATTTTCAAGCATGCCAGATTCATGAGGTTATACAGTATTAGGTTACTACCCTATAGAAGCAGAATAGAAAAACTAAATGATTTTTAAAAAGACATCCCCAACTCAGAACAAGTTTTTATATCCTGAGTATTTATGGCTTCAGAATTTGAAAAACTATAGTATTTAAGGATGTCATATCAAAATTGCCAGAGGAGACAATCTTAGTCTTGTAGCCACCGAAATCACTAGAGTAATGCATTCTTTCAAAAAAGGCTGCATCGTGGTTTCAATATTTACACTCAGCTTAGCTGGTGGGGAGTCTCCTGGCTGCAGGTATTTTTCCACCATGCACTCTTTGTGACACAAATACAGCTCTTACACACCAAAGTGTGAATGGAACTGCTGGAATCCTATAAGCAACAGTCACTTTAGACTAGAGGTACACCGATACATCAGTCCTGTACCTGATCGGCACCGATATAGAGAAAGTTGACATTACTGGGAAAAAAAAGATCGGCTTTCTTTGCCCAATGCGGCTAATAATGTGGCCAATAAATGCCCCATGCATGCACAGAGCCACAGCATGCATGCGGCCAGGAGTTAAGCCCGGCAGCTTGGAGAACAGCATTGGTTGCTAAGTCTGTTGTGGGGGAATGCTGGTGGGAGGCAGGGCAGATCAAAGCCCCCGTGGTGAGGGAGGGAGAGAGAGTCAGGCACTGCTCAGCCAGGGCAGGACAGGCACAGGACAGAGCTGCAAATGGCTCGCGGGGCGGAAGGAGGGACAGCTCCTGCCACCTCATGCACCCGGGGAGGCATGGAGGGTGTTGGCACCTGGGTCTGTGCACAGGGTGGGGCAGGCTGCACCAGGCTTTTTCAGGGGGTAGGCAGCACCCTACAGCAAATTTTGGGGTGGCTGCACCCCTTCCCAGAGCCTCCTCTCAGCCCTGCCACTGCCTGCCCAGAAGTGCAGCCGAGCCCAGCCTAGCCCCCCTGCCAGGAAGAACTCAGCACCACCCTGGCCCCAGCCTGCAGTGGCAGCCTGTCCTGCCCCGCCCACAGTTTGAAGTACGTGCCCCCCAGACCCTCCTGGAGTCTGCACATGGCGGAAGCTGCTCCCATCTTTCCCTCCCCGCCAATACGACCTGCTCATGGCTCCGTTCCATGCCCCACCCTGCCCTGGCTATGCAGCACCTGCCCCAGCCCCACTCCCTCCCTCACTGCAGGAGCCTTGCTCTGCACCCCCCCCCCAAAATTACCAGCCTGATGCTGGTCTCCAAACTGCCCAGCTGCATATCAGAATCGGATCGGTATTGGCTGATATGGCTCCTTAAAAAAAGAAGTCAGCCATCAGTATTCTCTATCGGTGCACCCCTACTTTAGACGCAGTTAATCATCAGGGATCCAGGTTTTCCGTTTCCCACAGAAAAACTGAGAAACTCACAGATTTCCCGGTTTTGCAGAGTGCTCTGCAGGCTGCCCGAGTTCCAGCCTGCAAAAGCTGTTTACAAAAATGGCGGGAAAACCCCAACCCTGCCCAGAGGAGCAGGGGAAGAAGAGAAGAGCAGAGCCTGTGGCTTTTAGTCAGTCGCAAGGCCTAGGTCAAGCTCACTTTCTTCCTGGAGTCTGTGAACTGGTAAGTGAGGCTTTCAGGGGACTGGGGAAATATACAGAGTGCCTGGCTGGCACCTCCATGTGTAGCTTAACCTAAGCGGCTGTAGCAACCCTTAAGGGAAGCTGCACATGGAGACACCAGCCGGGAGTGGGGAGATGTGGAGTCAGCCAGGCACTCAATGTTGTTCGCTCTAAGGTGGCTAGGGGGACCCGCACCCCCAGATCTGTACAGGGGCAGGGTGTGGGCTTCAGCTCCCTCCCTGCTTCCCTCCCTCAGGGCAAGACCTGGCACAACTGGGAACAACAGCGCTGGTCTCCTGCGTATGCTGCTGCTCTGAGTGGCAGAGCCTCATGCTGCTTCCCTCAATGCAGCCCCATGTGCTGCTGGGAGGCGCGGGGGGGGGGTAGTAGATCTCAGTGCAGCCCTGCTCTTCCTAAACAAACCACGATCTATATCAAGAACCATTAACAAAATAGAAAGTTTCTTACCATTCAACCTCCCATCAAAATTTGGATTAGTCGCAACTTTAAGACCAGGGTGGGGCAACAGGAAACAGCCAAGGTTACTGAAACATGAGTGAATATGCTTCCTTACATTCTGTAGCTCTTCATGTTGGTTTTGCTTTACCTAAAAAGAGAAAAATCAAGGACTCTAAAACAGTCCTGTTGTACTGCAGTACAACTTAAAATTAAAATGACTAAGCACATGAATAGATTTAAGATGCTTTGCCTCTGGCCTCTCTGTACTTCTTTTGAAGTAAAGTAGAAAGGCTTTTTAGTTGGTCACCTATTGAAAGAGCATTTACACTGGATATAAAAAATGACTAGTCAAATGTGTAGTTAACTTGAATGCAAAGTAGCATCTGAATTAAAAGGCCACAACATATAACAGGGCTGGGCAAAATGTGGCCTGCCAGGCCATTCTATCCGGCCTGCAGGACCCCTAAATTTAGAAAAATTAACATTTATCTGCCCTGAGCTGCCCATCATGCGGCCCTCTATGGCTTGCCAAAATTCAGTAACTGGCCCTCTGCCCAAAATAATTGCCCACCCCTGGCATAGATCCTGCAAGTCATAAGCTTACCTGCAATCTTTTTTCTAGAAAATTTTTTCCTCCTTCCAAGCCATATGCATGTTCATAAGGATAGCTCCAATCTCTAATTAAGAACATAAGTGTCTACACAGGAAAAGCACAAGTAATAATGAACAGTTGATATGCTTCTAATATGGGCAAAAAACAAAAGGCAGAGAATTAAGAACCTCATGCCTGCTGCTAGCAGAAGCAGTTACTGCTGTTGGTCACCAGAGTATAGCTTCAAGTGTCACTTTTGTCATTCCACAAGGTGTTTTGATTAATTACAGCTGCAGTATTCCAGCCAGCTCTTTTCTGAACAAAAACTCCAACATAAAGACTTCAGTAGGAACAGAGGATGCTGTTACAAATCCCTCTGGTTTCTCTGTCCTTTGCCAGCCAAGAGGGATGAATATAAGACTTCCTTTCATTCATTTGGAATATTAAGCCAGATCTTATGACACTCCCTCTAAAGAAGGGAAGTTAGCTGGATGGCACTAAGTTGCACATACTTGTAATACCTTGCATCCTTCATTCCTAAATAAATGCCAAGACCTAAAAAGAAGAGCCACACGTGGAACAAAAAAGGATGCTTGCTGTGGTAAATCTTGGAAGAGACTAAATGGTTAAAACCTCTCATCTCCAGTCTTCCTATGCCAAAACAAATAGTACTATAGAAAAACAGTATGCAGAAAAAAACAGACAAGAATACTAGAAATCTGTCTTATATTTCCTTCCCCCCCGACAATGGATAACTTTTACCAAGGCTCAGCTTGTTATAACAGTGGCTAACACCAGCACCGGTCTAAGAAATGACCCCCTTACCCAAAAATGCAGCCACAGCCCTCACATGGAACAAGCTTTCTAGCTGGCTACAGCTTTCTCTATCTTGCACATCAAGCTGTCCGAACGCAGATCTTAAAATCTGTACTGCAAGAGGCTGCCAGTCAGTCATCTTCAGTGGCAATAAGAATAGCTAACATAAGGCCTTCTAAACTGTAGAGTCTGTTACCTGCTTGGCCCAAAACAGACAAGGTCCATCAAGGCAGTGAATATGTAGCCTGCTCCGCTTATGGGCAGAACACAGATTTTGAGAGATTATCAGTGGTTCCATAAGACGACAGAACCTCAGCTCTGGTTAACTAAGTCACCAAAAGGAAAATCCAGGATTTAAGCAAAGTGCAGCCTTAACAGAAGTTACATCAGTGTGGGAAACCTTGTCAGGTCCCAGTCTAGGACCTAGTTCTCTGGAAACTAATGTCTTGGATTTGGTAGTCACCAAAGCTCATCAGTCCTTGCAGAACACCGCAGTCTGGCAGCAAATAAAAACCCGACTCAAGAGCTGGAAAGTTCACCACTATAAAAGCAATTGATTTACCCGCTACCACAGAAGGGAAGCTCACCAAATCTTTGTCTTCATTAAGTGAGGATAAAAATCAACCTCTTCGTGCTGGCAAAGGAAAACACCTGCAGACAATGCCAGGAGGTAGTAACCTCAGGAGGTGGCAATTCAAGTAAGTGAACACTACAGAATGAGATTCTTCATGGTGGAGCCACTCTAACCACCACTAGATTACTGCTTAAAATATAACAAGGGTTTAGGCTCACCTGGAAGGTCAGCAAGTCTGTGAAACAGCCTCCTCTGTTTGGTGACATATGTTCAGAACTATTGGAATTACATTTCTTTTAGCACTTGCCTACCTACCACAGCTCTGCCCTGCCATATGAATACATTCCAAATAGCCAAAATAAGATTCCAATTTCATCCCATCTTATAATTAAATAGGAAATTAAAGTGCTTTCAGGTGCTGGATGTTTTGGCCAAATTGTCAGATTAATTGCCAGTAACCCTGGGATCCAGATGCTCTTAGTTCCTGAGTATCAGTTTGCTCCACAAAACCAAACCAGGACACCAGCATTAAATTTAATTCTAAGGGTTAAGTCTCAGTATACCCATTCCTTTTAGCTGGGGAGGCAAGAGATGCTAGAGCTGCTGCTTTTGGTCTCACACCAGACACGGTTTTTGCAAATAAGTATCTGTGGAGATGCCAGACTGCTTTCTAAGAGGAGCCCAACTTTGGTGACAAGAGCATGTATTCATGAGTATTGTGGGGCAGGGGGAAATCTATGCTGTCTGTAACTCAGAGTACACAGTCACTAAGGATGCTGACAGGTGAACACACCCCCTCCCCAGAATTTTCCAGAAAAGAAAGCGTGTTATAGTTTGACCTGGCTCTCCAACATCTATGGAGATAGTGTGCTTCAGCGACACTTCTTTGCATTTTTATCTAAAGCTGATTCAAATCAGCTGTTAGACAAAGGTGCCACAAAGCCCTGCTGAAGCATGCCATCTCTACAGACATTGAGCAAGCTGGGTCAAACTAACATGATGCTTCTTCTGGGCATGCACTATGCTTGGCACAGGGACCTGGTGAACTTAAAGCACCGTTTTGTTTTTCCACATCTGTACGCAGCATATTTGCTGTAGCAAAATCCAACTACACTAGAAACTCAAGGAGTCCATTAAGAGGTTTCAAAGCCTGATCTTGTTATATTTGCTACTACCTTTCCAGAAAGATTCTATATTAAATTCATACCTGTGAAATAGCAAACAAAATTAGCTTGGTTTTGGAGAGGTGTGAGGCAGGGAGGAGGGGAGAATCAGACTTGTAAAGGAAAGATAGCCAACTCAATAACTAAATAAAATTTATCTCCAAAACATAACCTGACTTTCTACCTACTTAAACATGAATAAGACAAAGCAAGCGATTGGGAGTAAGGAAAGTAATAGGCATTTCATTCATACATTACCTGAAACGGCTTTTGGTAAATTTCTTCCATAGCAAGTCGTCCATACTCTGTAAACAACTATTAAAATGAGACTGTTAAGAATAAGGCCACATATAGATCACAAAAAAATTAAAGTTATTTGCATTGCCAAATGCTTCTTATTTTAAAATCACTAAAAAATTCAAATGTCTTCCAAGTTTAATTCAGTATTACCTTTTACCCTTAAGGATCAGCTTTAGGGTCATTCTAGCCCAGTATGCACCTGTTCAAGATCAGCCACTCCTCAACTCCTTTCATGTGGCTTAGTCCCCTGAAGAGCTCTTTCTGGGCTAACAGTATATCCTCCTAGATAACTCCACCTGACCCTGCTCTCCTACAGCTCTTGGAAGTCCCTACCCTTTTGCTTCCTAGACCTAGATAGGTACCTCTTGCCCAAACGCTCTGTGGGCAAGTTCCCACCTAGCACAACACAGAACCGTATTACGTAGAGGCACCAACTTTATTTAGATATAGGAAATTTTGACTTCTACAAGATAAAGTGTTTGTTCCACACCTAGGAGCCCTGGCTAACTAAGGTACAGACCAAAGCATTCCAAAACCAACCTACAAGATTCATATTCAACTCTCCCTTCAAAAACCCTGGGAAAGATCAGACTTTCCTCACAGGCTGAGGCAGAATTAATAGGAATAGTTCAACTCTTATAGCTTGGAGAAGGAGAGGAGAAAAAGAGGATCCCACACTGGGCTACACTGCAAGCCTTTTAGGGCTTTTAACATTTGGAGTCATTACAAAGACTCAAATGTAGTGCTCAAAATACTGAACTGCATGCTCATAGCAGCTAAGTCCGCTCAAAACAAGCCACTGACTTTTGAACCAGCTTCAGTTTTAGAACAGATCTGAGATATGGACTCATGGGCCACATCCAGATGAGCGAGGCTGTGTGGTATGTGGCACCGCAGACATCTGCAGTGCCACAGGGAAGTGGGGATCAAAAAACCAGCACAAAAAAGCAGAGCGGCAGATGCGGGGGGCAGCGCACACCACTCAAACACCAGAGCCTGGCCAGCCTGAGCTGAGTTCCGACTGTTGGCCAGGCTCCAAGCAGCAGGACTGCTGTTGCTGCAGCCCCAGGAGGCACCCAGGGAAGGCTGCTGGGGCCAGCACAGTGCTGGCCCCGGCCTTCCCTACTCCACCCAGGGTAACCCGTCATGCACCAGAGGGCACATGACACAGGGATTCCCTGGGGACTAGTAGCAGTGGTTCGAGGTGTTCCACTGCTTCTTGTCCCCTGCGAAACGAATGTCCACGCTCATGTGGATGGAGCCATGAACTACACATGGCAGTGCAACTGTGATGGTATAAGCCTGGATCACATTAACAATGTAAGCAATTTCCCAGCCAGAACCAGACAAGACCAATCTTGCTCACTGCTGCTGTGCAATCCTCCAACAGCAGTTAGGATCAGGCTGCACACACTAGAGAACAACTCACATCTCCTCAGTTCACAGGAACATTAAGCTTTCTTGTTACAGTCAGCATTTCAGCCAGTGGGCCCTCAATGTCTTTATCCCTACTAAAACAAAGGCAAACAGCTGCTCTTCTGCACTAAACTAGGGAAGGGCCTCAGCCAGGATCACCACCATAAAGGACACTTCCCAAATCTTTTTCTATTGGCTGACAGGGTAGTATTGATTTGCCTCCAGGCCTAAGGGGCAACTGGCATTAGTATGAATATATGGGGCCCTGATTTAGTCCCAGCCATAAATCTACAAGCATTTGGGACCATAACAATCATCAAGTTCCCAAATAAAGACCTTTTCCCAAATACCAGTCCCACTTCATGGCCACAGCAGCAGCAAGGGGTATATAATGCCATTCCTTCCCCTCCTTCCTCCCCTCATCAAGCATCAGCCCCCAACTGCATGGCTTCTCCTCAGATTACTCCCACCTAATAAAGAGTCTCATCCTCATCTATTAGAGCAGGGGTGAACAATTATTTGAGCCCAAGGGCCACACAGGGAGTTTTCATGAGCTGTTGCAGGCTGGACCCCTTCCCTCCCCCTTCCCCCTGCAACAACTCACTAAAGCTTCTCATGGGGCTTTGGGCAGACAGGAAGCAGTATTCGGAAGCAGGACAGGCAGGCGAGGCCAGGATCACAGGGCTGGGTTGCAGGGCTGTAACAACTCTGGGCCTGGGCTGGAGCCAGAGTTCAGGCCAAGCCACAATATAATTCCTGCACTCCCTGTCTTGCTCTAGGGGGAAAGAGGGAGGAGGGGGAAATGGGAGTGTACATGGGGGAGCAGCGGGGGAGGCCTGCCTGGGCACTAGGCCCCAGGATCCAGCTGGGGGCAGGGGAAAGGAGGGGCATATGCAGTAGAGCTCACTTGGGTAGTGCCTTCTGCAGCTGCCCCAATGGCAATCCACATAGGGCTGAGTCCTGCCCAAGGCAGACCTCACCATGTTCCCACCTGCCAGCCTGGCCCTGGCCCCGGCCCCCCAGTGTGCAGCCCCACATGCTGGGCAGGAGCTACCAGGCTGAAGCTTTCCCCCCTCCCCCGCTTACAGATAAGCAACAGAGCAAATCTTCTGTTGTAAAGACCTCAGAAAGACTGCCACAGGTCAGAACGTTTTTAACATTATGAATTCCCATTTGACATCTGTGTTTATCTTGTGAATTACATTTACACACGTAAGAGCGCAAACATCCTTGACAGGCTCTCCAGGCACCCCAGTGATTCTCAGCCAGGGTGCCATAGTATCCTACTTTAACCTTTTGCCAGCACAGGATGCCACCCTAGAAAGAAACTGGTTTCAAGACATAAGCTTTCATATGCCACAGACAATTTCTGTATCCTTCTAAGAACTGACCTGTTATTTTGCTCAGTCAGTATCTGAATATTCAAACAGTAAGGCAGATGTATTGTGCTCTAGCTGTGGAATGCAGCTGAAGCTAACATATTTCTGCTCTCAAGGTTGGCAAGCACCACCTTTTGCAATGCTGGGTAGGGTGGGGTGCTTTGAATCAGAGAATATGTAAACTTATTTTAAGTTGTGGCAAGCCCAATAGTCTAAGCAGCCAGGAAACCAGGCATGTTTAAAAGGTTTAAAACAACTTTGCATAAGCTGGCTTTTGCATTATGTTAAACAGAGGCAGGGCTCTTGTGCAAGGCTCTCAAAACTCAAGCCCAGCAGTCTCTAGCCAGTCCCACATCATATG